TTACAAATTCATTCACAGAAGTACTGTTAAGTTTTTTAAAGATGTAAATGCTTGTCTGAAGCTTAAGGGCTCCTTTGAGGAGTTTGCTATTTTTCTACCTCTCTTTTGATTCCCTTTACCAAAGCATGTCGTTTAATGTTTCCAGCTAACTTAGAATCTTGAAATATTCTTTATTCTGGTTTTAATAGGCAACTTGAAGAAGACACTTCCTGAAGAGACAGAAAAGCCTCAGGTAGAAATGCTGCCTGACTCTGAGACTGAAAATCCAAGTGGTGAAGGAAAAAGAATAATGACTCTTGCCAGATTAAGGGAGTCGTTCTCCCTCCATCAACTGACAGAGAGTAATTTTCAAAGCCCTAAAAAGGTAAAACAGCAGCACAGCTCCTCTAGACAAATGTCACTTGATACCACTTTGAGTACTGTAAAGACTCACAAGGCAGTCTTGAGTAACGAGTCTGAGAGCTGTCATAAGATGGACTCAAAGATGTCAGTTCCACGCAGATATCTGAGAAAATTAGAAGATAATGCAGATTCTGGATTCTGTAGCACTTCTGAGTCAGATGCCGCATGTAGTACACCAGAAGCTGGGAGCTGCGTCAGTACAGAAAGTGTAATTAATCCTCCTGAAGAAGAATTCTGTAGCTCAGAAGACCAATTTCAAAATGAATGTCTTAAAACTGTTGGATGTAGTGAGAAATCATTGGAACGTGATGTTCAGGTCTTGGGCGCTGAACATAAGTTAAATCAAGTGAATGACTGGACTAATCAAAATAAGTTTTCTCAAGAAGCCAATAGTTCTTCCCCAAGACTAAAATGTTTTAAAAGCAGGAGCTTTAGAACTGAAGCAGATGACTTCAAGGCAGGTAAATGTCCTGAAGTGAAGAATACTGGGAACTATATGCCAAGTGTTGATGTACTGGTGGAAGTTAAAAAGAAAACTGTGCCACTTGAATTCTCAATGAAGGTCTTGGTAGAAAAGGTAAAAAATGTAATACAGCAACAACAGAAAAGAACAGAAACACAAAATTACAGAAGATTTAAAGCAAAAATTAGTCCTGGAGAAAATAAAGTAGCAGAAGATGAATTAAGAAAAGAGATCAGGTATTTTCACCTTCTTAACATATTGTATTCATCAGTTAATAAAAATAGTTAGGGAAGAATATAAGACCTGTCTTGGGGGATGGGCAAGAGGCTTATATCTACTGGTTAGTTTTGGATATATCTTTTATTTAACTTACGCCATTAAAATGTCCATTTGACAAGTTATTTTACCTGACAGAGCAGCCTTTTGAACTAAGTGCAAATGGGCTATGGAAAAAGACACTAAAAAGGCCACAGACATCATAGATTTGGCTTGGTTCAGACTTGTAATTTGCAGTGTAGTCAGAGGAACACCAAATTTCATGATGGATGAGAACGCTCTGAAAAGACACCATAACTCCTATTTCTCCCTAATGTGAATTTGGAATTTGGTGGGACATAGCTGTGAAAATAAGTTCCATTCAAGTGGTCACCGGACAATAAAAGTGCATGTCTTGTTAATTTTGGATTAAAAACAGTGTTAGGAAAGCCTTCTAATTCCGAAAAGAAGGCAAATATGTTAGCTGCCTTACTTCAAAACTGGGATGCTGCCTTCAGTGTTATTCAGTTGGACTATCACCATACTGCCCATTTCTAATTTTATTATCACCAGTGGCTATATTTAAAATGGGAGAATCTTGAATGAGTCCTGTCTTAATGATGGATTGTATTCTGCCAGAAATGACCTCATCAGTCAGTGGCAGATGCAGATAACTGTACTTTTTCACGTTCATATCCTGCTTAAATGAGATGTAAATTTTTGATGTAAAGTGTGTTCTGCAAGGGAGAAAAAGATGTTTTTAAGTTTTACAGTCTAGCATGATAACTGATGAGGTGTAATTTATAATCTGTTTATATTTTCTATATACAGTAAAGAAATGTTTGCAAAAATGGAAATCATTGGCCAGTTCAATTTAGGGTTTATAATAACAAAGTTGAATTCTGATCTTTTCATAATTGACCAACATGCTACCGATGAGAAGTACAACTTTGAGATGTTACAACAACACACTGTTCTTCAAGGTCAGAAGCTGATAGCGTAAGTATTTCCAGTGTTTTAACAATAATAATTTGTAAGTTTCATTAAGTGTTTCAGAAGGATGTCTATGATTATACTTATGTAGCATTTCACACATTCAAAACACCTAAGACAAAAGTTGGTTTCATATCCTGTGTATCAAAGAGTTAATCTTCACAAGAAAAATAAATTCCACAGATACAGTCATAGTTATGCAGTAAGTCAGCGGTCAAACAGATTTCACAGTGGGCTTACATGGCAACCCACAGTTTTGGAAGCACAGTCATACAGTGAGGATATCGGAGACTGCTGTTGCAACAGGGAGTGCTGCCCAACCGATTTAACTGTGCAGAGTAAACTTGGAAGTAATGTGTTCAGTAGTGAGTTTTTCTTTTTTTAACAAAGCAAAGTGAAATGTTTTAATAGAGAGCTCTGTATTAGTATCTCTACATTGCTTCTGAAACTTAAGTGGTCTGCACTATGTGCCTATGCAATACCATATTTTTCTCTCTCTTTCAGGCCTCAGAATCTCAATTTAACAGCTGTAAATGAAACTGTATTGATTGAAAATGTGGAAATATTCAGAAAAAATGGGTTTGATTTTGTCATAGATGAAAATGGTGAGTTTGGGCCAGAATTACTGGAAGTAAAAGAAGTTCAACAGTTTCATCTCATTTATTATGTAAAAATCTCTTTGGGTAGATTATCAGAAACTTCAAAATAATATGTATTATGGTGTGTGGTTTGTTTGGTTTTTAAGACTTATGATTCTGTGGTCTCTTTGCACTATTTAACAGAACATTGTAGAGTATCTCACCAGCCTTCTATAGAAGTTTCTGAAGACTCTTTGGAGTCACTGTTTGACTATGTGGCTGGATGTGTATTTTCTGGATGTGTTATACTGGTACACTTGCAGGTCGCAGCAGGGTTAGATGCAGCGAAATGATAAATCTAGTAATTTTATTAATTAATAGATACCATTGGTAAATAATGTTCTTTGGTTTTCCTTACAGCTTTAGCATTGACTTGCTGTGTACTCTTGAGTGCATTGCCTAACCTGCAAGGTCCTTACTGTTTTCCTTACACAGCAAGAATAATGAAAGTGCTGTGTGTTACCACTTTGCTATTTGGGAAGTCACTACAGACTTTTTCCATATTCTTCATTCCAGAGTCTCCAATTTTTGCGTAAAATGTTATTAATTCTCAATCTCGTACCAACAAAAAATCCTTAATTATTTTGTAATCACATAATTTCAAAATAGCTTCATAAACCATTTGTTCTTTGAAATTGAAGGGTTTGTCAGAAATTAGGTCTATCTGCTTTCAAGTTTACAGGCAATTTTTTTTGTTAATGTTGAAAGGATATCTGACATAGTTATCACTATGGTTAGTTAATAACATCCATCAAAAGACTAAACGTTTGCATATATGCAGGTTACATCCTATTAATGTACCAAAGTAGTTTCTCAGTTCTTCTCTCAAGAAGTGGTAATTTCCTGTAATGCTCTTTTTTCATTAATTACTACAAATCTTTCAGCTCCTGTAACTCAAAGAGTTAAACTAATATCGCTGCCAACAAGCAAAAACTGGACTTTTGGTCCACAAGACATAGATGAGCTGATCTTCATGTTAAGTGACTGCCCTGGAGTCATGTGTAGGCCCTCCAGGGTCAGACAGATGTTTGCTTCTCGAGCTTGCAGAAAGTCTGTAAGTACAGCACTTGATGCTTGTTTTCAAATAAATACTGTATTTTCTGTTGTATTACAGGTGGCTGTATCTATATATATTGCAGGGGAAGTTTATTTACTATTGAGTGTCAACAGCTAATATCCTTTGTTTTGTTCCTTGTGGTTTTTTCTGGTGTAACTTGGGAAAAATATCTGGTAGTTTTTTATTTTGTTGCAGACTAGTGCACTTATGAACATACTTACCCGTGTTTGCTCTTCTGTTCATTTTGTAGGTCTTTGTGCTTTTAATGCCTTGCACGGTGTATTTGCTCTAGTAGCCAAAGTACTGCTCTTATCTGTGTCGGTTGTCATTATGGAGGAAGAAAATAATAATTGGGGTTTTTTGCTTTTACTTGCAGGTGATGATTGGAACTGCGCTGAATGTGCAGGAAATGAGAAAACTGGTCACACATATGGGTGAGATTGAGCATCCCTGGAACTGCCCCCATGGAAGGCCTACTATGAGACACATAGTCAGTTTAGACTTGATTTCACCAGAATAAGTCGATTTCTGTTTATTAACATTTCCTATTTTAATTGTCGGTGATATTTTGAGCTTTTATCATGACTCTTATTTTGAGTAAAAAAATTTTAGCCGGTCTTCAAATTTGAAAACAATAGCACTTAAAGGCATTCAGCAGGGTTTCATTGTTATTCCTATCAAGTCAACAATATCAACCTACTGGAATTCATGTGTAAATAATGTTTCTTTTATTGCAATTTACTCAATGTGTTACTTATTTTTGCAATCAAGACTTTTAAAAAATAAATATAAATGTTTATATATAAAGATCAAGAGTAGGTGAACCTCATTTATAGTAAGTACACTGATTCTTAAGTGGAATGTGAATTTGTCTCTAGTAATGCCATAAAACAAACATTTAACTTTCTATGTTTCTACATCCTGTATATGGTAATTTTAAAGAAAATGTAAATGATATACAAGTGAAAATACATTTTTTACCTTATACTAAAGCTGGGTTTCATTAGATGATTCCTTCAAGCATTAATATTGCCTTTAATGATTAACTTACTGGTATTTGTGTTTAAGGCTTGAGTAGAATAATTCATATGGCTTACTTACTTTTAGTTACCATTGTTCCCATCCATATTCCAAACATTTTTTTCAAGAACAGGGATTCCTTTTCTGAGAATGAAGGGTAAAAAGCTGTCTCACCAGGCACTGCCAATCAGGTCAGTCCAAATTCTCTCTCAGTAGCACCAAAATGGTTAGGAAATGGTCTTTTTGAATCAGAAACCCCTTAAAGCAAGTAGCTAAGCTCTTCCACCGCTGTAGGAGCAAGATTTGACCTAGGAAATCTTTGTGTGTGTTGGTGCCTTTTCCTTAGCGCCTCCGTGCACCGCTCACGGCGCAGGGTGGCTGTGGTGCTGCTGCTGTTCCTCTGGTGCACACAGCAGCACCGGACCCTTCTCTCGGCTCCGCGGCTGGCGTGGCAGGCGTCGGCAGAAGCCGTACACACGTCGTCTGTCACCGTGAGTGGGAACGGGCCAAGTACCGCGAATAAATTGTCTGTGTTCTGCGTGGAACATGTGCCCCGCCTGCTACCCGCTGTTCTGCAGCCGCGGTCTCTGCGTGTTAAAACGAACCCAGACAAGGCCGTTTCCCTCTCGTCCTGCGTAAGGCAGAGTTAACCGCCGCACTTAACGCAAGGACAGGCTCTCCTCAGGGCCGGGCTAGGCTGCCTACTGGCGCGCTGCCCTCCGCGGGGCAGCGGGGAGGTGGTGGCTGCCCTGAACGCAGCGTGGGGCGTCCCGGGCACTGCGGAGGGGACCCGCCGCGGGACTGACCCCCGGCGGGGCTGTCCCTCGCCGGCGGGGGGGCGGGCTCGGCGCCGTCCCCGACGGGGAGCGGCGGGGTGCCGCGGTGCGGTTGGTATGGTTACGGCGGCCATCGCCGCGCTGCGGCTGCGCGGCGGCGGTTGTGAGGCGGAGGTTGTGAGGCGCCGGGCGGCGGCGGCGGCCTGGGGCAGCGGGTGGGGGCTCCGGGTCTGGCGGGAAGGGCTTCCAGCACCGGGCTGCCCTCGCCGTCTCTCGCTGTCCCACTCGGGCCCGTCGCGCCGTTGATCTGGTATTGTAATTGCCTGAGTGGAACGAGGCGTTGGCTGGAAGCAAGCAGTGGTGAGAACATGGCGGTTGCTTGAGGATGTCCCTGTCAGCCCCCGCCACTGCAGCACGGGCGTTTGATTCTTGTTGTGTTCCAAAGCAGTGATGATCAGTCTGTGAAATGAGTGGGAACTGTGATTACAGCTGTTCAAGTAGCCCTGTAACCTTCAAGTAGTTCTTAACTGGCAAAATAACTTTATAAGCTGTGGTGATTATTCTGTGTTGTTCAATCTGCAGCTCAGAACACAAGCAAGTTAAATCAATAATACTAGTGCAGCTGTGACTTTCAAGAAACTCACCATACTCCCGTCTTTGAGAAATGGTATTCAACTTTTCCACGTGATTAAATCTAGACACCTAAAAATCTCCTAGTAAAGATGGAGACCTCCATGTAGCAAAAGTAAATCTACTGACAACTTTTGTTGTCGTGGTTTCGATAGACCTCTTAGAGGTAATTCACAGGCGGTGAATTAGCCTTGCAGTCTGCCTACCACAAGCTGAAACCATTGTCTTGAGGAACTGTTAATACAGAAATAACTTAAAATATGTGCATGTATAATAATTAAGATTAATAACTTTTCATGTAGTTCACTGTTTCGTTGGGGTTTTTTTAATCAAATAGATTATGGGGGAAAAAATCTTTACATGAGACAGTAAACGTTCTGAAAGAAAATAAACATTGAGACAATACAGTAGTTATGGCAAAGGATAAGAAGAAAAATGGCAAGAAAGCAGAAAAATCTGTACGTCCTCCTATCCCTGCACAAGATACTACAGCTGAGAGTAGTTCAACAAAGCTGACGGATTTGCAGACCTTAATGAATGGAGTGGAAGAAACACAGGCAAATCCAGTGATAACGGATAAAGAACCAGAGGTGGTAGAGGAACCTCCAGTCCAAGATGTTCCTCAATACTATGAGGAGCCTATTCTTACTCAAGTTATTGTGAAAAGGTATGCTTGTTACAAATACATCAGTGAAGTCATGAATTCTTCTTTAAGTATCTCTAGTATACCCAGTGCCATACAAACACAGATTTGACTCTTGATTTGAGGCAGTGAATTGGACTATTCAGACCTAGTAGCCATCACACCTTACGAGACTGATACATGTGGAATTCTACTGCCTTCTTGCATCCTAGAGTGTTGCTGGCACGCTCTGCCTGCCAGAAGCCTCATTCTTTTAGCTTGTTCACCTACGGTGAAGTTTTGACTAAGTATACAGACAGTTGGTGAAGAAAATGTAGCTATTTAGTGTTCTGTTGTTGCTGCCTTTTAATGTTTGGTGCTGCTCATATCCCTTAAGAATATCCTAAACTGAGGAAACAAGTGAATGGCAGTGTTAACCAAATCCTTTTGTAGTTCAGGGGGGCTATATGTAATGTTTCACGTACTGACCAGGTTTGCCTGGTTGTAAGCTACCGATGTCATTTGTTTTCTTAATTGAAAGAAATATGGGTCTGAGGCAATACAAAAATTACGTGAAATATTACAAGGAAGGTGCAAAAAGTTGGAAATTTTGTTGTAGCTTGTTTTTGTACACAAGATGCAACAACTGGCCTATGTGTGGACCATGGCAAATCAAAGGTAATTTATTACATGTCTGCTGTGATTTAGGTCTACTGGCAGTGACCTGAAATCTTCATCTTTAGTTTGTTTTCCTTGTAGCTATGAAGGTGAAAAAGTCCACGGATTGTATGAGGGTGAAGGATTTGCATATTTTGAGGGGGGAAATACATATAAGGTGAGTGTATAAATGTAAAGCCAAAGTAGTAGTGGATCAAGTTCTTTCTCTAGAACAGGCAGGCTTGCTCTTTTAACGTAGGTGGAGGTTGAGCACTCAAAATGTGTAAGCATTGAAAGCTCTGTTGGTTTCTGGCATTGAAAGTCTTAATTTGAAACTAGTAGTTGGAGGGGAATTAACATGTAAGATTTCAGAAGAATGACAGTCACTGTAGACTTCAGTTGCGTTAAGAATAAATTTGCAAACGATGCCGTTCTCTTCATTTTGAAGGGCATGTTTTCTGAAGGGCTTATGCATGGACAAGGGACTTACACATGGACTGATGGAGTGAAGTATGAGGTAAAGTGCAATTTTACTTAAAACTGAACACAATTACAGCCAATTAGATGTGCAAATTCAAGGCAAGTAAGTTGCAGTAATTGGTACAGTATGGGTGGCAAAGGCAGAACTATGGCAGTGATTTCAGTCACAAGCCTGAGTTCTCCCAGATAGTTGGGGAACAGTGACATCTAGTTTTTTAGATGTTGTAATTTAATCTTTTAGGGAACATTTGTTAAGAATGTGCAGATGTTTAATGGCCGTTATACATGGAACGATGGCAGCATTTATGAAGGATCAATAAAGAATGGAGTTAGGCACGGATTTGGATTTTTCAGGAGCGGTACTTGTCCTGTTTCTTACATTGGCTATTGGTGTAAAGGCAAAAGACATGGAAAGGTAAGTAAGAACACCAAATGAGAGCGTGGTCTTGGGTGACTACCTTCTAGAACAGCAAGCACTCTTTGTGCAAACATTTTGCAAAAATGTTTTGTGCTGTTGCATGGTCTTATGCTATGTAGAGATTTGTTTTTTCTAAGGATCTTTTCTGAAGTTGTGAATGCTAATTAAAACAATTGAGGTGGGACCTTGTTTGTTGTAAAAGGGATGAGTGGTATCCTAAAAGAGTAATTGGCCTATTATGTGGTTTGTTCTTTATGCTGTTCTGAGCAGATGATGACAAAGTCAAAACTGACAACTGCATCAGTAGCCACATAACAATGACAGAACAATTAGCTTCCCAGTAATGACAAAGTGATCCCACCTCCCAAATGTGTTAAGCTGACCAAGTTTGATAATTACAATTAAGACTGCCTTATCTAGTGTAAGTAACACCTAGGTCCAACTTTTCAAAGGCAAGTAGTGCTTTTATCTGTCTCCGTTTTGTGCATCCAGATTGAGACAGTCTTCTGGGCCTGACATTTTGAAGACCAATACTCAGCCTATGAGGAAAATCCATTCTAATCACATGTGGTTTTGTTCTCTGTCACTAATGAGACATTAAAATCACACAGGCTGCTGTGGATGGTCACCAGTGCAATGGTCTGACCAGTTTGTTCTGAGAGGAAGCTATCAGACAGAGAAAGACAGAACAATTAATGCTGTAGAACTACTGTTGGAAGTTGAATTCTGAATGGGCCAGAAAACTGATTACCTCAGAGTGACTACTGTGATTAAATTGCCAAAATTAGCTCTCTGAAAGTATTTCCAAGTGGTTTGAGAAACGTGGACTTTGATGTAATGTAATATGGGTTTTTTTGAACACTTGGTCTTTTTTAAGGTCTTAACTAATATTCATCAAAAGAGGTTGCTTTTTTATTTAATTTTATCACTTCAGTTGCTTTCAGTACAGTGTCTCAAAGTGACTCTAAGTAAGAGTGTAATTACATGTGTGTTATATGATTTGTATGTGATGTTTTATTAATGTAGAAGAATATTTAGGTATTTAAATTGACTATACTGTTTGTTTCAGGGTACCATGTATTATGATCAGGAACATACCTCTTGGTATTCAGGCGACTGGATAAATAATGTCAAAGAAGGATGGGGAATGAGATGGTAAATGTGATAGCACTTGTTCTTACTGGGTTTTGGATTTTTGTTGGGGTTTTTTTTGTTTGTTTGTTTTTTTTGTTTGTTTGTTTGTTTTTTACGGGTGTTATCATACAGTTTCTCCTGTTGTTTAAAATGGATACAAATGCTACCATTTCATAGTAGCATGTACTTTCTGCAGTGGGATAAATAATTGTACAAAGTCCTTTAAAATAATAAAATAGACCTTCTCTATAACTTTATATTTTTATGTTGGTATATTTCTACTGAGTATTCCCAGAAAAGAATGTCTAAAGACAAAATCCAAAATCAGCCTTGGTAAACCACAAAACAACACTTAAACACAAATAAACTTGATTAATTTGAACAGATGGAGCTGCTTTCATTAATAAATGAATTATTTATGGAATTATATATAAAAGAAATTTTGATATGGCAAAGACTCTTTGGAAAAAAAGAACTGGTTAATATTTTTACAGTGATTTGTAAGTTAAAAAGAGGAGGTAAACAGTGGGTACAGTTAAACCTCTGTATCCATGTCACAGTCAGCCAACTTTCAAAGTAATGCTAATATTTATTGTTAATAAGTGCTAAACTTATTAACAATGAGGTTTTGCATAAACCTTGCTTTCTTAAGATCCACTCAGAATTTAGTATGAATGAGTCATTAACTTTTATTGTTTTCTTGTAGCTATAAGTCTGGAAATATCTATGAAGGTCAGTGGGAGAAAAATGTACGTCATGGAAAAGGAAGAATGAGATGGTTGACAGCTAATCAAGAGTATATGGGACAGTGGGTGTATGGCATACAGGTATTAATTTCTTCCCCAGCAACCTCTTTAGTTCAGCATCTGTCCATTACTCTAGTAAAACTAGATAGGGAGTTTTGTGCAATATCGAAGGAGTTTTGTATGATTTTCTGCCAGTTGAGACAGTAGAGGAGTGCTGTTTATTTTAAGTTGATTCTCAGGTTAGCAATACTCAAATTTTTAAAAAGGTTTTGACTTAGTCTTAAAAAAATCATAATTTAATTATCTAATAGAAAATAAAAAGCTTTTCCATAAAAAAAAGTTTAAAAAGTTAAATGTTTGTGACTATACTTAGCTTGAGATGTGATTTCAGAAGTGAGTATATGGGGCAATTTGCTTCTGTGTCACCTGTGAAATATTATACCACACTGTTCCCTCTTGTAAAAGTTTTATGATGGAAGGAGAAGATTTCTGGCATTTTCTGTTCCTGCCATTTATAATTCTGTTGGAAAAAGAATGTGAGCTACTTCCTCTGTCTTTTCACTCTGCATAAAATTGTCAAGGAGTCTAGCTTCTGGAACACGGTGGCACTCTGTCTGGCATGGTGTTCCTCACCTGGCTGTTCAGCATTACAGTCAGAAGGCTTCAGGCAGGAACGATGTCTTTAGGAATCCTGTTGGAAGAGCTTGCTGAAGTATGTGTTGATTCAGTGTATCCTCTGAGCGCTTCTGCCATGCACCTTTGTAGAATATAGTTTTATGAATGGTTTGAAGTACTACAGCTGTCAACTGGGTGCTCTTATTTGAGAGATTTGCCAACAGTGACTCTTAAAGATGCCTAGGTGGTTTTCCTTTTTACAAGTCTGAACCTGTAGCAATAGCAGCTCTTCTGGTGACATTCTTTTTTAAACACACAATTTTTTTTCAGCATGGATATGGCACCCACGTATGGTTTTTGAAGAGAATGCCTGGATCTCAGTATCCTTTAAGGAATGAATACATAGGTGATTTTGTAAATGGGGAACGACATGGACATGGGAAGTTCGTGTATGCCAGTGGAGCAGTGTACGATGGTGAATGGGTTTGTAATAAGAAACATGGCAAGGTGAGTATTGACAAGTAGAGTAAGGCAAAACCGCACACAACACCAGAAGAGACTGTTCTGCTCAGTACAGTGTATCTCTAGATTTCTGTACGGAAAACTACATCCAATTTGCATTGTGGATGGAATCCCAACATAAAGGACAGAGTCCACTGAAAGCAGTAGGAGTCCTTCCCAGGACCTTGCTGGGCCACAGATTTGATTCTCTGGTTAGATGTGTATTATGTCTATAAAGAAATAAGTTTTACTGTGGAGATTTTCAGTGCAATAGATGCATCTTGATTTTTGCAGTGGTTGGTCAGTATTTCACTCTTACACTGTGAGCTAATGGATTTCAAGCTATCCTTGCACAGAGATGTTCACACATTAACATACTGTTTTAAAAAAATTGTGAGCGAAGTGCCACATATGCAAACTAAGGATTGCAAACAGTCTTTCTGTATGGGGGGGTGGGAAATGTTTTTTCCTGAAAATACATTTCAAAATCAATCAGATATCTAGGCAATTCTTCATCCCAGCAGTGTACTCTAATTAACAGATGACAAATTACTTTAGTAAGGAGGGTAGGAAAAATTATTTTGCTTTATTTTCTCTCATATATTGCATTTTAGCCAAGATTCTTAAAAGGAAATTTGATTGAGAGCATTAGTGTTATTTTTTTCTGATCTTTGATTTATATTTATATTGAAATTAATCAAATTGATCTGTCTATAGGGCAAGTTTGTCTTCAAGAATGGTCATGTTTATGAAGGAGAGTTCACAGATGATCATATAGTAGAATATCCTGCTTTTCAAGTGGATGCAATGAGTGCAAAAGAGCTGAATGCCATTTGCACAGGAAGTAATTTTGGCACTGGTAAGCAGCTTAAGAAAACAAATTTTACTCAGTTCACGGGTTTTTGTTCCTTTTTACTATAATGTGAAGCTATTTGTACTTACTCAAGAGCCAGACATATTTCTTCAAAGAACTTTGATAAAGATGGGCATTGTCTTAATAATTAATGACTTTTGTTCCCATGCTTGTTGTTTCCTGTGCATGACACTGAGGGACACATCCACACTACATCTTGTAATGCTTTTGGAACAATGTTGTCTGAAAGTTTCATAACTTACGTAATACCTGCATTTCCTTTTGATTAGGGGTTGGAGTTGACAAAATTACTCTTCAGTTGTTATGCTGTTGATTATGAAATCTCTACTCCTCACTATAAAGGAGTCTATCATTCTCAGTTCGAAGTCAGTAAGATAAGAAGGAATAATGTGTGTTTTATTTTCCTTCTGTATGTGTGTATATATATTTTTTTTTAACTTCACTTTAGTTTGTTCTAATTTATTTTATTTGCATGGTAGAAAATATCGCTATCGTTAATGGTTTAGAAAATACTTCTATTCTGGGATCAGATATTGAGTTGGATATATCTTCACTGCTTGACTTGTTGCCAAGGGAAGAAAGACATGAAGAACTGAAACAAGTAAGAGTCTACTGTTTGATATTTTCAGTTTTCCTCTGCAGTGTGTTTCATAATATTTATTTCTGGTTTATTTGTATTAAAGTAACTCTTTCCATTAAAGAATTTTTAAAAAATCTGAAGGCCATGAAAACAGAAAAGCAAAAAGAATTAATAGACAGTGTTGCCTCTTCCTGAGCTTCCACTAGGAGTCAATAAAAAAGACATTAACGTATCTGGAAGGGCATTCAGCAATTACCTTTAGCTACGGTGAGGTTTGTCTGCTGACAGAGACTAATGTATTTTTATCAGTCACCAGAAAATATGTATTATAACTACATTTGAGTAATGCCGTCATGAACACTTAACCAGGAATATGCTTTTCAGAGTTAGAAGATCAAAAGCATTATATGCCCAGTTACAGGATCAATACAAGCTGATCCCTACTTGATGTGAGACAATGCTGAAAACATATCCTGCTTTATTTAGGTAGAATTTGCTGTGTTGAGGCATATTACAGAACTGAGAAGAGTTTACACCTTCTACAGTGGCTTAGGCTGTTATCATTCTCTTGACAACACCTTCCTCATGACTAAGCTCCAATTTTGGAGATTTCTGAAGGACTGCCAGTTTCATCACTCCAACATAACTCTTGCCGAAATGGATCGGATATTGAGCGGTTTGTATTTCTGTTGATTGGGGTGTAGAATCTAGGAATTTTAATAGTAAGCTGTGGAGAGTTGGAGTGGCAGGTTCTACTGACAGCTCAGCTCTGGTAGTTAAGTAGCCCTGAGTGAGTACCTCTGTGGCTGTGAGTTCTCAGTGGATCCACTTCTCCAAGCACTTCAGGTGCTTAGGTGAGAAAATGCAAAATTGAAATACCACTTTAAAAATTGTTCTAGAGAGCCATCTGTTCAAGTATTGTATTCACCCCTGGTCTTGTCATTACTATTACATGTAGTTTTAAGAGATCTGAGAAGAAGTAGAAGAAAAATATTTTTCTTTTTTTTTTTTTTTTTCCAGTGCTCTTAACTTTGGCTTGCATGTAGTATGTTTTTTTTCTTCCATAGAGCCAGTTAATCAATCAATTCCATTTAGACCTGCAGTGGGGTGCACTGCATTGTCCCTAGTATCTGAAGGGCTTAACTCCAACTTTGCTTCCCCTTTCATTCCTATATGCTGAGTGAATGCATTTCTAGAACCAGAGAATTTCATAAGGTTCAGCTATAGGTGGATGGTTCTCCCTTGACCTGCTTGTTTGGAAGGGATGCTGTGTCTGGTCTGATTCTTCCAGGAGTGTGTTAACACTGTGATAGGTAGAGGTGGAGAGGATAAAAAAGTCTGACAAGTCAGTATGCCTGTAAGCATTTTAATGTACATGATAGCAATAGACACTTATTTTTAAAATTTTTTAGGTGATAAAACACCACTTGAGGAGATACATTGTCCACATGAGACTTTACTGTTCAGAACATTTTTGTCTTACCTTATTCGTCTAGCATTTCATATCTATCATGAAGGCCACAAGTAAGTTTCATCTTTTAGTGAAATTTATTTCAGTGTAATCAGTTTGAGTTTTCCCAGACAAGAGTATTTTTGTTTCAACTGTAGGGAGAAGGGTCCTTATCTGCATAAGTGTTTCTTAGAAATGATGTCCAGGAATGTTATTCCCACCGCCTGTTGTATCCAAGGTAAGTAATGGTATTTCTTTTGTGTTGTGCAGAATTCATCAATTAGTACCACGTACATCACAGTTTTATTGTAACAGTTATTTTTTCCCCATTAATTTTTAAAGGTGTCTTATTTTCTGAAGAACGATGTACAGTTTTTGCCATGAGCTACATTGACAAATGTTGGGAAATATACAGAGCTTTTTGTAGACCGAGTACCAGACCTCCATTTGAACCCACGATGAAAATGAGGCACTTCCTTTGGATGTTGAATGTAATAATCTAATTTTTTTTTTCATTTTGTGTGATTAGATGTGCTTTATTTGTCAGTTTATGTGACCATTTTAAAATAACTCCCTGTGGCTTCTGCACAGTTGAAAAGTTTAAAAGGTAGGAGCTATCTTATCTGTACAAACTGTCCAACAAACATTAAAGGGACAGTTGTTCTGTAGGAATTATTTATGTACTTTTGCAGGATTGAATTCTGATTTTGTATTTGATCATTTCAAATAATCAAATATTAGACAAATGTGTTTTAAGCAAATATAAATATTTTTGCTAGCTTCCCCGCCCCCATCCTGTAAAATGTATGTACGAAAATGTCTTACTGGTAGAACTCAGACAGACAGCTTTTGAAATAACACAGTAAACCATTTTAATAATGTATTAATTTAATATACTGCAAGATGAACATGCGATTCTTACTAAAATTCAGTAATTTGAGGACAGATCAAGATTACACTGAAGCTAGGGAACAATTCCCATTGATACGACTGGCTTTTGAGTCACTGTCACTGTTTAAATGCAAGACTTTTTTTCATGAAAAAAATTAATAAAAATATCAGATGGCAAAATTGTAATTTTTTTTTTTTATTTATTTATAAGCTTTCACGAGTTCTTTCTTAACACTGTTATTGCAGTCTAGGGAAAATTCCCATCGACTTCAGTAAGGCCAGAATTTCACTCTGTCATTAATTATGTACGTGGAAATAAAATTTGAAAGCACTATTTTGATACAGGCTTTAAAGGGAGTTAGATTAAGTCCATGTAGGAATGCCTTAAGTGCTATTAACATATTTACTCTTACTCTTACCCAGGATTTTAAACTTCTCAGCAAACAATTAACTGCTTCAAAACTTGTGGAAATACTTGTCAAAGATGGTCCCTCTCTACATGATAGCAGTAGTACCAACCTGGAGCCAGAGGTGTGTATGAAAAAACATATCATGGTTCATTGCTACAGGAACAATTAACATTCCTTTTAAAAAAATGCTGCAAATACTGTCCTATCTGCTAGAACAGGAGGAAAAATAATTAATTTATTCCAAAAAAATAAAGAGTGCAAACTTGAGCCTCTATTTTTGTCTTCCTTTGTTCTGCCTATATCTTCTAGTTTAGCTCACGTACTTCTATGTTTTTCTTATGTTACCCTTCTTAGTACAGTCTCAGCATACCCGACCATACAGATAGTTCCTTAAGAGTGCCGTAACCCAGAGGGTGAAATACCATTTCCAGGAGACTGCTGCTAGTAATAGTTCTGTCTGTGGGGCAGTTACCTGACAATATGTGTATACGGCGATTATACAGGGATGAATCTCAGCGGTTCCAGCTGCTGAGGCACGCACTGGAAATGTTAAGATAGGTCAATAATTAAGATGTGAACCTGCTGATCCTGAAAATCTGGTGTTCCAAGAAACCTGATTAGGGACATGTGAAGTGCTGCCACCTCAGTGAGGTCCAGTAGTGACTATAGAAGACACTTGTGCTGCCTGACAGCTGGCCTGCTATAGAGGATCTTCACCCTTAAAGAATTAGCTCTTACTCAGCGATGCTAAATGACATAATCAAATTTATTGCTTTAAACAGTATCTGATAAACTGAACACACAGTGTAAGCCTTACTAAGGGATTCATTATACACCCATTCTTGGTGTTTCTGGAAGTATCATGTGCAATTAAATGTTAAGGTAATAGCAATAGTTGCGTGTTATTTGTTAGAGAAATTTCTCATAGCTCCAGAGACAGCAAAAAATCTATGCAGTATTTTATTTCAGTATGACTTCTGTAAGGTATAACACAGTATATCACCTCCTGAATTTTTTGAGCTTTGGCTGTTTTCAATTTTTCTTCAGAAGAAGGGATGTTTGACTAGGTAAGTGAGGCCAGCTAGGCTTTACAAACAATTGTGTTTGAGTTCTTTGGTTGCTCAGGTACATATGCCTGTTAATGAAAGGATTTTTTGCAAAAAGAATTAATTACTGTGTTTATTTTACTCTAGTTGGTTTTTCTTGAATTTGTTGAAGCTCTTCTTGATTGTGCATTGGTGTATGTTACCAGTGATATGATTAAAGAGCAAGTAGCTCGTGATAATCGGAAGAGAAGTAGACTCGAGCGCCTCTCCAAGGGAACCACAAATATGTCTCTGTACCCAGAATATTCTCTGTCCCAGGTAAAGTTGATGCAGACCAGTTAATGTCTACTTAGAGGGTGAAGTCAGGCCCTGCAAATGTTCTACGTTTCCTGAACATAGAAAGCAATTTCCTCTTTTTGCATAAACAGTCATTTGATTGGGTCCTTCTGCTTTTTCTCTTTGTTGCTACCTTAGATTGTAACATCAGTATAGATAGTTTTAGCACATTTGCGCATTTTCCTAGATACCTATAAATACACATAAAGTACTTGCAAGTCTCCTGGTGGGAAATTGACAAATTGGTTGACTGGTGGAAGATGTGCCTCTCCTACTTTAAGTCGAATGTCTAAAATTGCCCTGTAAAAATGGCATTGCAGTTGTATGTAGCAAGACTTGCTGTTTCTCAGCAATTAAGCTATGCTCTTTTCTTTTCGCTAAACTTTTGAATAAGGATTTTGTAGGTTGTAAGATGCTGCCTGTGACAGTGGTGCAATTTAGATGCACAGAGTAGTTGAAGGCATGAATTAGAATTGTTATTTGGAATTGTGCACAAGATGAAAGTATTTTTATTAGTTCAAAGAGCATTCACAAAGACCTAATTTCACAGTCTCTGTAAGCCCGTAGTGCCACTGGACACGACTTCCCATTCTCTGGCCAATTGTTCCCATCCTACAGAACCCATTCCCTTGCATCACTGCAAGCATTAATGCAGTTGCACAGTGAAATGGTCCAGTTAAAATAGTCAGATTTTCCAAGACCAAAAGAAAATCTTGATTTAAAGTGTACTGAACATAAAATTCTTCTTGTGTTTACTTTTTATTAGTGCACATACAGAAGTATAATTGGTGCAGACATAAACGATGACATTTCTGAGGCAGCTGAACTTTACACTTGCTCATGGTTGTCTTCAAGTGAAAGTGTCATATCACAAGATGAAATAAAGAAACATGAGGTATGTAAAAAGCCTGCACTGAAAGATGGAGCAGAGGGGTCGCAATTCATAGGTGACAGAGTAGCCAAGGTAGTTTTAAGTTTTGAAAGGGACCAGAATTTAATATTAAATACAATGTGTTTCCATTCCTGGATGCATGTATGAGCCTAGAAGTGGTTTTATTTATTAGCAGTTTCTATTGCTAATAAAAGCATTTGCTTCCACACATACACTCAGCTATTGTTATTGAGAATATTGGGTGGTATCTTCTACATTGACTAAAATGATGAACAAAGCTACAGTTTATCTTTATTTGCAAGGCAGGGAGTGAGAGGCTAAGTGGGCAAAGAGATTTAGAAGCACTGGGGAAGGTAACTGTAACACAATTCTTCCAGCAAACTTTTCTCCTTAACTGCCTTTACAATTTTGTACCCAATGTATGACTATAATGAGATTCTTGATATTCCAAGAGCAAATACGTTCTGTTTGATCCCTGTGATTTCAGGGTAGGATAGTAAGGATTACTAGTTTGCACTGGAATTGTGGAAATCAGACAGCGAATTTGGGAACTCCTGGACTTTTGGAAAATAAACCAACATTTAAAAAACAGAATTGTGTTTGACTTCAGTTTTTGTGAGACTTTTACTGTCACTCTTCTGAAAAGAGTGGCATCATCAGGCTGCAGAAGATGCTTCGGATGATAGTTGGAAAGATTTCAAAGCATCCTCCTTGGATATACTCTTGAATGTTGTTCTCTCATTTTCACTCCGTATAATTCCTGGAGTATATTCCTGTAGTTAGGAATAGAAATTCATTACAGTTTCCTTGGGAGCAGATTAATAATAATATGTAGAGCAACATGTTAAGAACAGAGGGACACGTCTAAGAACAGGAGCTTTCATTCTCTGTACTTCTATCTTTCCCTAGCTCTGAAATCGGGTAATCCTACTTCCCTGACTGGTATCAAAGGTAAAGTGTTATGACCAATTTGCTAATACTTGAAAGTGTGAAACACTATGGTAACTTAAATGCTTTGAAATAGGCATAATTGCAGAATGCATTTGGTTGGCAGAATGCTTTGGAAATAGGAATTTGCATGACTCAAATGGACATGTGATTTCAGTTTTTAATTTGAACACAAGTCCAGGCATTTAGTAACTGAATTTAAAACTTCTTGCCAGCCACTGAGACCTTGTGAAGACAGAGGGCATCCTCTTCAAGAATTTCTACTGGGTGAGTACTGTCGTTACCATAAGCATCTATAAGCAGTGGTGCTAGAGGAGATACTCACTCTTTTTACAGCTTTAAAGATGATTAAAACAGTAGCTGATCATTGAAACAGCTGGATGTATTGCAATTACAGAGGGTAACTGGATTCAGTTTGGCAATTATGACAAGGTTTACGTTTAGCTTTCCAGACCTGCTATACACAGATAGGGTGGGCAAGTTTGAATCTCTGAATTTTTTGTGCTTTTTAATTAGAAGCTATCACATTTTCCTTAAAAAAAATAAAGGCTTTTAAAAACCAATTTCTTCCTCTTCTGTCCCACTCATTTGGGCATGGAAACAGGAGACTGAACTCTGCAATTGTGCCTTCATTATAAAAAACCTTTTAATCAGTACAGAAGTATTTCAGCCACAGGTCTAGCTGTAAGGTCAGATGACAATTTATATTTATTTGTGCTGAAGATCAAACCTGATATTTAATGTACAGAATTACAGACTGAGTAATTTTCTTTCTTTGTAGTATCAGATACTGTCCTCTCATTTCACACAACTCATGGAGATAGCAAAGATGTTCTGTCATTGTTCAGCTGGAATGCACAAAAAGAACAAGATTTCTGTCCTGCAAAGGAATTGACAGGTAAAGCAGTCCTACTGTTTTAAGACTAACACAAAAAAATCCCTCGTAGCTCTTGAATTGCAAAATTTTAATTGTATATGCAGATTTCAGCTTGTCACAAGAGGGCAGTAAATGAACATTAATTCTGGAGGAAGTTTTTTAAAGAAAATTTTTTAAATAAAATGAAACTTAATAATTGAGACATTTAAGTACTAACTTAAATAGTTTCCCTAATTTTAAAATGCCGTATTTTATTTGTAGGGCATCTAAAAGCTGTAATTTGTATTTACTCTGAGAAACTCAATCAAGCCTGCCCTTTTTGTTTTTTGTCTTGCACAAATAAAAGATATTACTGCTATGTCTTGCTTCTTTTACTTAATATAAGAATTATTATTAATGGTGTGCCACCATTAGCTGGGGCAAGATGTCTTATGTTATGACAAGCCAGCATTCATGCAGAAGAGAAATCACTATGAGCATTTTCTATATGTTGAGGCTAGTAATCTTTTTATACCATCTCCCTTCTGGCTGAGTAGCAGATCTCATCTGGGTTCTTTTTTGTGCTTGTTAAATGTTTTCTACAGATAAAGAACCCAAATCTCAGAACATAGGTAGACAAGGATCTTTGTGTAGTTATCAGCTCTTTCACTGAAACCTGATGACTGAAAAATTACAGATCGGAAAAAACTGTTTATTAAAGAACCAGCAGATGGGCAGATTTTTTGACAGTCACAACAACTGGATGCTTGCATTCAATTCTGTTCTTTCAGGTAGTCATGTTTGTTCCTTCATTCCTCCATGCACAGGAGTCATGGATACTGAACTGTCATCATATTACTGCAGAAGACATTTATCATAGGATAAAAGGGGAAAGTTCATATTTTTCTGATGCCATTCCCAGGGACAAGTCACTCTGAAGACCCACAAAAGGGCCATCCCCTTTCACATGCATTAGTTAAACATTTCTCACAGTTGCCATCTTCTGTACCATGCAGAAGCCAGACCTTCCCATTGCAGAGTGTCAGAGCTGAAATATTGTAGTCCAAACGCATTTGAAAGAGAAGTGCCCTACTAAATACACATGTTTAATTTACATGTTGCAGATGAACCAAAAGAAGCCAAAACGGAACAAGATGAGGAATTCAGTCTGTGGCTGTGTCGGGTGCAAATCTTTTTTACAACTAAGTTCTTTCCTGCCTACCACCATGAAAAATTGGTGAGGGAAAAAATAAAAGAAAATAAAATACAGGATGCTGAATTAGCTGAGCTGAGAAAGATCAAGGATGAGGAGCTGGCAAAGTGAGTGTTGTATTGTATCTTGAAGTACTGCTACCTCTTATTTTCTACTAACAAAATTATTGAAAATGAGAAGCGTGCTTTAATAAAGTAGTATTGCGTACTGTAACTGGGAAAACAAACTCATCCAGGTATAAGCAGCAACATACAGAATGTAGCTCATGTGACTTCTGTTACTGTCAGGAGTAACATATACAGGCTGCTTTCAGGTTACTGAAGTCTTAATTCTCTGATATTTCCTAGCCCTTGAGCCATGCTCTGTGTAAAGGCAGCTAAAATTTTTTTTTTTTTTTTTTACATACCATAAGTCAGACTTGAAGTGGTAACTAGACAGATTTTCTGCTTCTCTACAATATGACAATTTATACTGCTCAGACTGCAAATATAACAATAGTTGCTTAGCCAGTACCCCCTCTCTTGCAGTACATTAAATTTAAATTTTGTTCACTCAGACTTATTGCTGGAAGAGAAGCAGAAGAGGCAAAAAGGCAAGAAGCAGCTACAGCAGAAAAAACATTTGACTCCAGGGATGCAGACTTTAAGGAGTTAGAGGAGCCTGTCACACAGTTAGTACCCCCTCCAGAGGCACCCACTGTAGGACCCCCAGTTGTTACAAAGGTGCCTGCTGGCAAAAAGAGAAAGAAGAAATAAATCTAATGAGAACTACTGAAGCTTCAAGTAAGTAAGTAAGTACTCTTTGAATAAGAGGAAAAAAAAAAAAACCCACCAACAAAAGAGCCACACTTGCACTAAGGTCTAAAATACAAGTATGATAAAACTGTATCCACAAGACTTGCTGGGGTCAGAGGAAAACTGTCTGCTCTTAAATCAAGGGTCTTGGGAAAGAGAATATAGTCATGTAAATGAGTATAACCCTTTAAACAAAACTATTCCAGAAGTCACTATTTGAGTTGTACCTAAAAATTCCCTCAAGTGTTAAACTGATACAATCATGACAAGATATCAGTTCTTATATGTCCCAATGAAATGGTTTCTGCTTAAACATGGTTTATTTGACTGAAATACTGCATATAAACAAGTATGTAAGAATTGGACAACAACTTTAAATTGGGCTGAAGCAGGAGTTGCAAAGAACAGGTCAACCTAGAATGTTCTTTGTTGAGGGGTCTTTTGTAACCAGTCTAGTTTCACATTGTAGAAAATTAGCAGAAAGTCACATGATGCAAATGAACACAGGAAAACAAAAAGATGCCCTTAAAAGTGTAACAATTATTAGTTTTATTTTCCAGTAAAATATTCACATAACGATATCAGAATGGAATGGTACAGATGAATTCAGACTGGTTTTTAATTAGTTTGCACATAAACATCTTTAAAATCTAAAAATTTTATGATCAAGAGTTTACAGATTTTAGTAGAAATTTTGATTCTTACAAAGCAAGTATTGCTTTACTATTGTCATTATTCCAGTCAATAATATGACTAATAACTTTTCATGTTGAACAAGTGTCTGACATTGACATCTTCAATAAATCAGCCCTTTGCAGATCAATCCAAGAAAAAAATATTATTAAACTGTGTTGCACAAAGTTTCTTCACTTCTTCTGTTAAAAAAAAAAAAAGAGAGAGAGAAGATATTTCAGTATGATATTTTATAGGAATCTCCACAAGAAAAACCCTGGGGATCATCAGGAGATTCTATTAAATTCAAACAGAAAAAAACCTAGGAGTTTCTAATGTAGAAATACATTTAATGTTACTCTGTCTTCATTAAGAGAAGGTTGAGTCAAGTCTGACATTTCACACTGTCTGAAAGATGAGTTGTATTCTAAGTGGCTAAAGTGTAAATGATGGTTTGAGTTTGCTGCTTGGCCATGCATCTTGTCAAACTTTTACACTGCAATAGCAGAAGACTTAGTTTCAACAAAAGGAGGTATATTATAACCCCTTTTCAGGGGAAGGAGGGATTAGGGTAGTCTGTTAAAATAAATCAAGTCAGCTTTTTTTTCATGACAACTTTTGCTTCATGCTATTTGGCAGACAACATTTCCTAAGTTTATCAGGCACAGAAACACTCATTTACTGTTTCTGTATGGCAGGTTTGATCCTGAAAGACAATTAGAAATGACTGTGTAAGTCCTGCAACCCATTCCTCTTTTTAAAATTCAGGTTGCTAGGCTTTGGTCTTGGAAGAGTATTAATTCTTTCCCATCATCCAAGTGAGCACACTGCTTCCTATTAAAACAGCCCTAAAATTCCTGCAAGAAAGACTCAAACTGCCCTTTCTCTTCAAGTCTATATAAAAGCTTATTGCATCTTAAGGTTAATTTGCACTCTTAGTCATAGTAAATAATTCTTAAAACAGCATTAGAAACAAAACAACAATGGAATGAGGATCACTGACAGCATAGTCATTATGTGTAAGTAACCTACCCATGGACCACTGACAAGTAAAACCTAACTCAGATGTAAATATATTCATCTCAGCTGTAATACACTTCATTAATTACTCCTAAATTAAGCTTGCAGAGCTCTCCTATTATTTGAAGGAGGAAGAATGGCTGATTAATAATTAAGAACATCTGCTGAATATTTATGCTGTTCTTTCACAGCTGGTAGAAGGCAGACTAAAACCTTATGCAAACTTACCTGGTCTGTCATAGATCCACCCCTCTCTAGATTTCTTGTAAGATGGATTTTATTACTTCTCCAGGGACATACATTACTAAAATGTATTCTTAGTAACTGTATTTAAAGGTAATAAAAACCAATCCTTACCATTAACTTCAATCAGATTTGCATTTTTTTGATTCAAAATAACATACAGTTCTCGCTGGTCTGACTTCTTCCCAACCACCCAGTAATCACTCATTGCCTTCACAATAATTTCCTCATCTTCATCAACTCTGAAAGAAGTTTGAGAAAGTAAAGGTGGCAGCAAGTTCATCTTCAACATCTTTATTTGTAGTCATTAGGACAGCTTAATGTCATGAACTGTTGTGGTTGTGCAGTTTCAAAGAGACACTACCAATACTAACTTAGACATAATTCAGCAATCTAGGATGAAGGCTTCATAAACAGCTGCTTAGGACAATTACAGCCCCAGATGAGTAAATCGTCAATTTGTCCATCAGCCAAATACTTGAATGCTTTGAAGAAAACACCTATCCTCCATACCACTAAGGACATACTTCATAGAATTATGATTTGCTACACAGTGACCAAAAAGTTGGAGATGGTATGATGATATTAAGCTTTCACATTTCTAACTGTTAAACCTAGAACTAAACTGTGCTGAACAACTAGATGTATTACATAAAGCAGGCACTAACCCAGTACTTCCACAATATGAGGAAACATACTTTTTTAATTTATAGAAAAATGAAAACCTTGTCCTTAAGCAGAGTGGGAAAACTGCTACTTGCTAATTATAGACATCAATTATTCAGCATTTTTGTGTTGTTAATTTTTATAGTGACAGAGCATCTGTCCCACCTTGAAGAACCATACCCATTGACAAGAAGCCAGTTATCTTCTCTATCAGCAGTAACTGCAAGGTTTGCATTTCATCTACTGTCTAATCCCTAAAAGCAGCCAGCTTTTTCAGAGCCAGAGATTAGACAGACTTAAGTGCAAAAGCACTAGGCTTCACATCTCTTTTACGTTTGTTATGGCTACTCTGAAGTTTCAAATAGATGAGAGATCTTCTTGGATAGAGGCCCTGGTCCTTCTTCAAATTTTTTTTTTTTAAAAGGACAACAGAAGTTTTGTTTAAGACAGACTACTTCTAAACCAACACAAAATACCAAATACGACCCATGTTACACCATTTATCTCACAGAGCTATGAATAGCCATCCATGAACAAGACAACATCAAAGCTTCACTCATTTGAAAAAATCTACCTGATAGAAGGAGTTGCAGACTATTTAATAGTTAAGCATTACCTGGAGAAGTCACTGTTGATGTCACCGAGAATCTTCATGAGGTCAGGGTGAACAGATGCAAGTGATACACTGGGCGTTTTCCTCATGTGAATGGTACTTTTCTCTGCCAGGTTCATGTGATTGAAATAGATAAACTTAAACTGAGGCTCCTTCTCAGCCCTAGGAATATTTTAAAAAAGAAAAAGAAAAAAGGTGACTTGTGAATACTGACACATTCTACAAGCACAGGCTTCACAGGGAACAGGTAACTAGCCAGTGCAAAGCTTACTCAGACATCCTGAAGTTATCTTCACATTGAAGAGACCCAAGTACATTAAGACTTGTGGCATGACCAAACTTCATTTTAACACACTTTCTTGGATGGGAGGGGTGGGAAAAGCAAGCCTGCCAAACCAGCCAGTTCTTCCCCTTCTGCTGCTTAGGCTGCTCGTAAATAGACACAGGGGAGTCTAAAGGCATTGTCCCACTTCCCAGTAGTGGCTTGTTTGCATTTTTCTAATGAGCTGTTCTTCCTCTGTCCCCATTTTGTTTCTTTGCTGCTGTCCCCAGTGCCAGTCCAGTCTGGTTTGAATGGATGCTAGGTCTTTAATTTGATCAATAAGTAATTTTCCACTCACATCTTTGTTATTTGTTACAATGAAAAGAAAGAACTCTTCCTTGATCCAGGCAATTAGATTTCCCCCCATCATTTGTGTGGGCCAAGCAAGAAACTATTTTCAAACTCCTGCCTTGACAGTCTTCCTTCATTTCCTCTTTTATTAATAAAAAAATCTGTCACTTAGAGCTATAGTTTTGGTAGAAGTTACAACAAATTCAGACTGGCAAAAACTGGCTGTAACAATTGGTACTTCAGGCTATGTATTATTTAGAATCAGGGAGATACTGTGATGACACCACTCACCTTAGCAAACAACTAGATACCCTTGCTCTCTTGTCACCCAGATGCATTAGCATCAAGAAACTGTATCATGTTTTCAGGACACCATGGCATTAAACTTTAAAAGAGTTAAAGCTGCCAAAGCCAGTCCCAGATGACATTAAAAAACTCTAAGCTTAATGATTTAGTAGATTGGCACAATTTCAAGCACATCCTATTCTATACCCTGCGATTTTGCTCGTTTGGCATGCTACCACTAAATGAGTCTGGTCAAACACCTATCTTTGTTTTAATTCCTCTTTTGTTGTCATATGCAATGCTGTTCTTGCTTCCCCAAATAACAAATCTATCTAAAAATAAATATAATTTTATGGAAAATCAGCTATAGTTCCAAGTGAAGTATATTTTCCAAAGCATTAACATCCTTTTTGACTTTTTTTTTTTTTGCCACTCAAGTAGTTACCTCAGTCCTGCAAAATAGAAAAAATAAGACAGTTTCTTCCTCACCTACCATGCATGGCAACACTTCAAGAAGCAGTAATTCTGGAAAAAAAGTACTCAACCGTAAAGCTTATATTGTAACCAAATAATCCACTCACTAAAATCCCCATTTCAAACTGTTAAACAAAAGTTGTTCTAGTATCTAGACCTTCATTTTCCTTTTGGATTTGTAACAGAGTTAAAAGTTACATATACTTTGTCCAAGCTGTAAGTACTTTTGTCTAAGGCAATACTCAAGCTAGTGGTGTCAGTGTCCACTTGATGTGAAAAATACATTTCCTATTTTAACATTATACAAAATAGCAGAGAGTCAAAGCAGAAGTCAAAGGAAATCAGCACAAAGGATGTGGGTACAAAGACAGTGAGTGATCTTTTTAATTTTTTTTTTTTTTTTTTTTAACTCAATTGTTCTACTAGCCCAAGGGCTATTTGTGAACATTATAAGATTCTGTTTTCCTCAAGAAAAGTTAGAAAGTATAAACTGAAGTTAAGATTTTGCAGGAACTGCTACTTCTCTACTTCAACGTGGGCGACAGTGACAGAAGACTACCATGTCCATTGGCATTTTTGCCATCTGGTATATATTTTCGCAAGCAGAGTAATCTGTAGAACTCATCATCTGCATGGGTCAGCTAGTCTCATTTCACATATGAAAGAAACAAAACCTCGAAGTTCCACCTCTTGTATCTGAATAATCTGCTGACAGCTGGGGCTTGAGGAAGCAGAATCCCAGTTGATAATAGTGAGACTTATCTTAACATTTACATGATTCTTATTCTGCAACAATTATGCACATAGAGGAAAAAGGTTTCAGCCACACAATAGACATCTGTTCCGAAATTAGTAACATGTATGTTGTTACTTCAGGGAGACCTAAATATGCAACAGGCACTTTATAAATGCTTAACATGCAGAAAGGTAGGTAAACATCATTTAAAGTACACAGTTAACTTAATGCTTTCAACATTTGCACTCATGTTACGATTATTTAAGTTGTTCATTAAACCTAATTTTTAAACCAACTAATGAGGGACTGCAACAGGAGCAGAAACGTGGTACAAACCCTGATATTCTCTTGTTGATGTTGTACTGTTCACATATGTCTGATGCCAACACGGTGAGTTGAGGCCCAACAATGCTGTCCAGTTTACGGCAAAACTCCAGCGTAGGTGGAATTGAAGCTAGGTGATAGGTAAAGAAAAGGGAGAGATGAGATTCTCTTCCCACAGTTGAAGGTACAGTTTCTGTAGTTGTTTTCTTTAAACATCCATGAGAGGCCTCTCTCTTAATTATAACCTTCTGGATGATTTTGAAAGTCCATGGCTAACTGAAGCAATATTTACTCATTTTATTGTGTATATTGAGTTACTTATACCACTGGAACAAAAACCAAAAGACTGATAAAAGCACTCATGAAGAGGCTCAAATAACAAATTAACATGAGTATTTTTCAAGAGTAAAAACAAGTTGCATTTTTTACTAACTATGTCTTGCCAAATAAGTGATGCTAATAGGTACTTACCATCAATCATAAAGCAGACAGCTGCACTCATGGCCTGGAACAAAAAAGTTAAAGCAAAAAAACCATTTACAACAGGTTACCTCAACTACCTCAAATAAATGACAATACTTCAGTGAGGTCACACACAGGTAAACCAGTTAAAAAAAATAATCTACTTCAAAGGTAACACTTCAATAGGATAATCTCTTTGCAAACCTGCACAACACAGGATAGTTAAGATTTTAAAAACTGTTAACTGGGCTGAATTTTAAGTTGTAGGGGAAAGGTAAAATTTGCTAAAAATGCATTTTATGCAAGGATATATGTCTGCAAGAAACTTGCATTTAATTTAAAAAAAATACTAGTTTTTTGTTTTATTGATTAATACTACATAAAGCCTGGTATGAAACCACTTGAAGTAACTGAAGGCTGGTATTTTGTTTTAATAAAACAACTGTTTTGAGGAGGGTACAGGAGAGGGAAAAAGAGGATTCAGGCTTTAAAGCTTGTTGCTAGAAACACCAAGAGTTTTCTGTCTCTTTGCTTTAACCTGGTCATATGAATTGTACAGAAAGACACATTGATAAGTACTTCACATCCTTGTCGTCTTCATTGTATATAGATTCCTAATTCTGTGGAATAATTGCATAGAAAAACATAATACCTTATAAACAATTAAATGAAGCTCTTCGTAAGTGTCATCAGTGTTAACAAATATTTTGGGGAATCGGCATTTTGCTTCCGGATCATTAAGGTTTAAAGGTCCAGTTAGAAACCTAGAAAATAATTAAATAGGTGAGATACGATGAATTCTTGCATTTCATTTTTTCCTATTTAACAGTTGTTCTTGAAACTAACAATTACTTGTGTCTATGAATGTATTTGAATACAATGCGTTTTCAGCTATCCAGATAGGCACAGAGCCCTTAATATATTATCTCAGCACTCTTACATTTTCAAAGTATTATTTGCATATATGCTCCAAAGAATTACAGAAACAGAATCAGAAAGCCTGAATAACACTAAGGAAATAAACTGTGCAGACCAAAGGAACAACGAAACTCTTTCCACATTCAAGTTGTGACTTATCTTTAAAAACCCTTTTTTTGTTGCTACTGGGAAAACACTCTTCCTTTGCTTTCCAACAGTACATTCAAATTAGTTTTATGTAAAACAGTGGTGTGCTAGAAGCACCTAAACTTGGAGAGATGTGGGGGACAGATGGATGGGACAAGGAGTGTGTGCCAGCGCCTTCATCCCAAAAGAATACAATAAATCAGGCAAGAGGAATTATTGTGATTAAAGAAAGACGTCCAAACCCACAACTATTCAAAATAACGTTGACCAGCTGATTAAGTACAGAATTCCCCACTCTGACATGCTGAGTACAGAGGGAAAATAAATAGATAAATCTCTAGATTAAATCTACACCTTTGTCTGAAGTGCCTGACTGAAAAGAAATGACCGGAGCAGTTCAAAAATTTTTCATGCAGTGCATTAAGAACAGTGGGGAAGAAAAACAAATGTGCAGTAATGTTAATGAAGCCTTTTCTCTTTTTTTTCCAGAGGTCAAGTTTTACATTGCACCAACTACTGTGCGACACTCTTGAATGAACTGTGTGTGGAAAACATACTCAAAATACATGTATTCCTCCCAAACATTTTGTCCTTGAGGGAAGAAGCAGTAGATGGTGACAGTAAACAAGAGCTACCTTCCATAGTGTTGTAGATTTCCTGGCATTTCAGCACGTATTGGAGAATCTCTTCCCGCTAACTGAAGCGAAAAAGAACACACACAAGAAAAAACAGCTTAGAGAGGTATCTTCTGTTACATTTTGTGGACTGGCTTTAAATCAAAGCAAACCATTTGCAGAAATCACCACTCATGAAGATACATACTTTGTGTAACATGAAGGAGATAAAGCTAACGTGTAAGAGATGCTGATAGAACAGGGCATTTTGATTTTGCATTTATTAATTTTAAAATTTCGCTTATGGAGCTTTTTGATGGGGGGGAGGGATAACTAATTCCATGTGGTCTTATGGCACTCCATGCTGCATTTAGCCATTAAGATGAAGCGATCCATTTGCAGTACTGGGCAGTCATCAGGTATTGACACTGAGTAAACTCTCTATCACTATCCCATATCCAATTTATCAGCACAATTCCTATTGTAAACATTAGGTACAAATACTACTGAGTTCAGTGAAGTGCCCCAAAAGCAATACATCCCAGAATTTCTAAACTAAAATTTAAGAGCAGGGCGCATGGAAAAAGAGATATTCCTCTCTGGTATTTTAGCCCTTAGTGATACCAAATAAACAGAAAGAAAATGAAGAAAAAAAACCCCAAACACAAAACCCAAAACTAACCCCTCCCCCCCCCCAAAAACAACCAAAAACCCCTCTATCATACCTCAGGCTCCATGTGCCTTGGAAACAGAGATGTCGTGAGATATTTGTATAAAATTCTCATGTCATCTTGTTCCAGTCCACTCCTAGAACATCAGGGAGAAAAAGAAACGCAAGTGATGTTTGTGCTGCAGTTCAGATCACATGTTTTCCTCTAACCAAAACTTAGGCAAAGCACATACCGAACTAGGGTAGCAACATTTCAGTGTCTCAGTAGATTCAATCCCGGAACATTCATCTTTAATAAAATGTTATGTTTATGTGCTAAATACAAACCACATCTAAATTAGCTGTAAACCAGAAGAGAAATAGAAACAATATTTAAACAACGATCAAGTTTGCTATTCTTAACTCCATTTTTAAGTAGGACTCTTCACAAGCATTGCCAGTTTCCTGGTTCAGAACCATATGAAGAACAATTCTTCAATTAACTGTCTCTACTAAAGGGTCCTACAGAGGACCTTGTATATATGCACAGAGGCTCTTAGGATGGAAATTACAAGGATACTTCTCTAGCTGCTCCTCAGGCCAACATGGAAGTAACCGTTTGGTACAGGTTAGAGATTTTAAAGCTAAAGACCAATGCCTTTCTTACATATCACTCATCCTACCATTCAGTTTTATCATCTTCATGCAACTCTTTCACTGATTCAGAAGCTTTGCTATTATGGCACTTATTTATAGGATAAGAAATTGAAGACACACAAAAGAATTATTGAAGTACCTACCAGATAAGCTGGTCATTGTAGAGAAATGCAGTATACTTGACTATGTTCAGGCTTTCTTCCATCCTGTTAATAAATGACTGAATTTTCAAGTAAGTCATTTTATCCAGTGGAAAGAAGCTGATTCCACAAAACACATCCAGCAGATCGCAAGACTGTAAATGCAGTGTCTGCAAGTACTAAGAGAATAATGACAGTTGTTTTTTAGAATTCAGAAAACTTCCAACATGTAGATTTAAATGACAAATTTGAGTCTAATCCCTGGTAATCTAGACTAACGATCAAAAAAAGCCCCCAAAACAAAAAAAAACCACCCTTCCAGTTCCACTTGTACGACATATTCCTTCATGGGGGACAGACTTTTTAGTAGGGTCTGTAGCAATAAGACAAGGAGTAATGGTTTTAAACTAAAAGAAGGTAGATTCAGACTAGATACAAGAATTTTTTTATTATGAGGGTGGTGAAACACTGGAACAGGTTGCCCAGAGAAGTGGTAGATGCCGCATCACTGGAAATATTCAAGGTCAGGCTGGAAGGGGCTTTGAGCAACCTGATCTAGTTGAAGATGTCCCTGCTCATTGCAGGGCAGGTTGGACTAGGTGACCTTTAAAGGTCCGTTCGAACGCGAACTGTTCTATGATTCTATGTGTGAGTGTGTGAATGTGATTCCAGGTGTCAGCTTGCTATTACTTAATCATAGTGACAACAGCTTTTAAGGCTAGCTCAAGATCTTTTGAGAGTGTAAGAAAGCACAGCCTAACTTACTAATATTTAATTTCAGAAGTAACTCTGTAGAAATATTAGCAGATAAATCCATTAGCTTTCAGTGTGCAAATGAAAAGATAATTTCTATTATTCTCTTTCTTGCTAGGCTGAAAACTTTACCAAGATTGAAATGCACTATCAAATGATCTGCTCTGTGAAAGATGAGTTATCCAATGGCTCCCTCTACAGTCATTTCACATTACCAAAACAACCAAGAAGTAAAATACTTGCAGACAAATAGCATGACAGATCTCTGCAACAGTTTATAGTCTAAGTCTCATTTCCTTTCAGTGTTTCAGTCCAGTCCAAGCCTGCTAGCAACACGTAGTCAATTTGTTCAATAAGGTTATAATAGAACAACGTGCATGACTAAATTTTTTAAGCATTTCTAATTCCCCAGCAAAAAAAAGAAACTTTTCCTTGGATTTCTTTGTTATGCAAATCCATAGCGATTACTGTTTTATCTTCAGTAGGAACTTCAAAGAAAAACAGTGTTTTAAAGATAAAAATCTATTACTTCCGTTTTTGCCATGCTCTATTTTTTAACTTAGTATAGACAGAAATATACACCAGCTAATCAAACAAGTACTCCTTGTGCCAAGAGTGTTCATTCTAGAGTCTTACAAAAAACAAGCAAAACCCCTCCCAAAACCCACAAGCAAAGGCTGTCCTAAAATCAGACTGAACTGTACTTTTGTTTACACTATCACAACATTGTGTTATTTTAAAAACCTGTTAAGAGAACAAAATTTTAAACACTAGTACACAGTGTCTACTCTCCATCATTATCAGAGATACCAATATTCACATCTCTACCACAAGAGAATTAACTGCTGACAGCAGTCCTCTGTTTCCTCCTCCCATGCAAACGAGAAAAATAGGTGCAGACAGACACTTGGGTGCCATCTTTTAAAGCCAGCTTGATGAAACTTTTCATGTAGGAACTCAAAATTCTGCCAGACATGACTACTCAGTCAGTCACGTTATTTGAAAAATACCTGAATAATATTTGATGGATTTCTTGCTCAGAAATAGGTTTTGGTTTCCACCCTTTCACTAAAACATTTGCTTTTAAAGACTGAAATTAAATTCTGAATACTAGTTATAACCGAGGCAATATTTCCTGAAACCTTATCAGACATGACTACTAATTCCACATGGGGTGGGGGGTAGAAGTTAAAAAATTACAACTATCCATTACTTCACAGTACTATAGGACTTCAAGTCTGTGCTTGCAGGTTGTGGAATCTCCACCCCCAGGTATTTTCAAGACTCAACCAGCCAAAGCCCTGTGCAGCCTCGTTTGAATTCAGTGTTACCCTACTTTGAATAGGAGGCTGAACTGGATGACCTCTCCAGATTCCTTCCAACCTGAATGATTCTGCAACAGTTACTCAAATAGGTCTGCACAGACTGTTACCATACTAACCAATCCAAACATTAAAACAGAATTTCCAAAGAATAAACATGATTCCATCGAAAAAAATATCCAACAGCTAAGCTGTTCCATCAAGCCATAACCTTGCTTGTGGTTCAACTCCACTTAAAGAACCTACCACATTAGTAGGAAGCAGGAATTATTTCCAAAAAATGAGCAACCAGACTTTTCGTGTTGCCACTACACCTTTTCCACTGCTCGTGTTTTATAGTCCTACTGCAGCCACATCGAGAAGATTTTTGCATTTTAATTCCAGTGCAGAATCACACTGTATGTGCCTGAAAGATAAGGTCTTACCCGATGGAAGAATTTCTCTAGTCTCTCCTTTAGAACTTTTACACCTCCATCTTCCATGGCTTTCAGGAATGTACCATTGAAAAGCTAATAGTTAAAAAAAAAAAAAATCTGTCAGTTGGGTAGTCATTTAAAATAATTTCTTATAACTCGGCCATGAATATAGCTAGATTACAATACAGCTCCTGTTTCTCAGTATTTGGACCCCACATAGATCCAAACGTACCCCTTCTTTATTGAAGAAACATCTCTGAGGTTTGCAGAGTCCAGGTATATATGGCAGCAGGGGCAGAATTAGAAAAGAAAACTAAATTCTTTAATGCTAGAGAAATTATCTGTGTCACTGAAGTATCTTGTGCTCTTGCTTTGTAACAGCCAGATTGATGGCCTTTATCCAGTATTGTTTCTCCAACAGATAATACCTAACACCATCAAAATCAAATGCTTAGTAGTGTAACTGCCCATGAAAAGAAATCTGGACTTCACAGAAATTAGAAAGCTCTTCTTTTTACAATAAGCTAACAAACCAGCACAGGTAACTGCAAAAGCTTTATTTTTCTCTTCCATCAGCACCATTACAGCTTCAGGAAGAGAGCAGACGATAGTAACGAGACAAGAATGTCAAAGAAATGATAAGCTTGCACATCCAAATGGTACCACGAGGATCTCTTCCTCTACCGAGAAGAGGAGCCTCCAGTATTAACTCTACCTTGTACATGCTGTAGCACTGCTGTAGGACCGAACTATAAACCTTGTCCTGCAGAAAAGAGAGCAGGACATTAGTATAAGCAGAGGGAGAATTTCAAATATTTTGGCTGAGCTCCACATAACATGTTTTCAAAGAGCCAGCAAACACAAAAATTAGAGCAATCAATCTCTGAAAAGTTAAACAGCATTTTCAGTCAGCGTCTAGAAATTTCTTTGTACTTACAAAGTACTATTTCTATAAAGGGAGTCCCTTCCACCCTTACATTTAATACCAAAAGCACCTTATTAACTCATGCACAAGACAAGTTAAAAATAGTGCCCTTCCCTAAGGCCAGTGGTCAGTGAAAATTAACTTACATT